ATATGTTACAAATTTTTTCCTTCTCCTGAAAATCACAACGACATTTTTTTTTATGCTTGGGATCTTTGCAACGGTTCTATCTCTTTTGGCTATAATCACGATTCTTATCAGAATCACTATTTAAATATCTTGGAAAATTCATCGCATTATGGTTGAATATTTTTTTTACGCTAGATACTGTTTGGCATTTATCGAATTGGAAATAGGCCTGTTCGTGAAATTTTCCTGAATCAGTAGATTCGTATTAACCAGAAACGTATATCAAACCGAGTTTCTCTAATACATCAAATTCTTCTTTAGTTTTTGGTAAGATGTGTTGACATCTAATTTTAGATTCTTTACAATAAGAACATTCAATTTCATTGCATTCACTTAATTTACAACATTGAATACATTTTTTATCTTTACAATGCCAATGATCCTTAAGACATTTATCACATTGAGGAACCTTTCCAGTTTTCGAATATTCCTCTTCTCGTTGTTGTTTATCCTTATCAGACAGGTTTTTCTTGCATTTGAAATGAGTCAAACAAGGAATACAGTAAAAAATGGTAGACATAATATGTAAAAATCTTTGATTGCGATTCATTTGATTTTTTTTTAAAAAAAATCACAAGGGTGACAAAGGCGACATTTATTCTTTTTTATAGTTTATTTATTATTATTAAATTATTTATACATTTTAGAAAAATACTATTTAGGAAATATCATTTAGGAAATACTTAGGAAATACTATTTAGGAAATAAAATTATTCAGTCAGAAAAATTTAAGAAATCATATTCATTATTAGCAGGAAGTTTAAAATTATTTAATTCATCTTTGTCTAAATCAAAACTCTCAGTATAATTTGGAACCTCTTGGTCATCAAGGTTCTCAATATTATTAACTTCCTGATCAAGGTTCTCAGTATTGTCAACTGGAACTTTGGAATCTATATAAAGATCCTGTTCATATAGGTTTTCATCAACTCCCTCTTGATAGATAGGTACAAATACTTGATTCTGATAAACCTATTTGGCACATTGGAAGCTTGGACCAAAATACGCTTCAAGCCATCTGAATTCATCAAGTAATTTGTCAATGAAATTATTCTTCTCTTCGATGACTTCTTGTAATCTACTGATGTTTGAAGAGATGGAACCGTTGCAAAGATCCCAAGCATAAAAAAAAATGTCGTTGTGATTTTCAGGAGAAGGAAAAAATTTGTAACATAT